AAATATTCAAAATGGCCGACTGGTGGCCATTTTGTTTGAATTAATGCTGTTTCAGAGCAAAATATTTCAATCAGTACTCGTTTCACGATCAGATACAAGATGTCAATCATTTTAATGTTAAAAAATCATCATAATCTTCTGAATCCATACTTCTGACATGTTTATATTCCAACTATATTACTATAAACAAAATTATATATCTTAAATTTGATAAATAACGGGGACTATGTCATGCATGGCTTGCAAATTTATGAATTGAACCAGATGTCCCCTCCGACCTACAAGAACAATCTCTTTAGAGGCACGAACCTCTTTATTTCGTTTTTGCCTTTGATGTAATTTGTCATATGAGTTACTGTAGATTTTTTTTAGCTGAGCATTCGCTCGGCTGAAGAACACCCCACAACAGGGAGTATATCCCTACCAATCTCATGACCGAGCCGTCCGAGTGACATGCTCTGATTAGCTCTGATTCGAAAGGCTAATAGTGCTTCCATTTCGCCACACTTTTGTAATAGACTTATTAGGGCTGCTGTTCAGAATATCCATATAGACCAGTATAGACCAGGGACTGCTAAGGGTGAATAATGGTATTACGCTAAATTTACGTAGAAGCCCGGGGCTGAAAGTGTCCGCAGCACTAAAAAACAAAATGGTTGAAAGCTGTGTTGTCAACTGTTCGTTGAGGGGCAGATGTGTATCTGATGCGAGACTGATACTAATACCTCACCTCAGACCGAACCAGACTGAAGGACTGAATGACTTTAAATCTCTGATACGAATAACGTTGTTGAACGACGCATTTACTCACACATAATGCGGTAACGATTAAATTTACAATAATTTGATGCCCACACCTAACTAATGTATTCCTATCATTTGAAATGTATCACTGTAGATCCTACCCCAGCCAGCAACTGCAACTCCCGTTCGTCTTCAATAGTGATTTTGAATGATTAATGAGGATAAAAATGCACGCATGTAAGTAATTGGTCAGTTCATAGCGCACAATTGATACATTCCTTACTTTCGAGTTCCCAATGGCTACTCATTTCAATAAGCATTTCAAGATTTGAATGCTTGCGGGCGCACTGTAAGTGGGGTTGTTTTTTAATGTTCCACCGAGGCAAAACATTGTGAATAATCTCAGTTCCAAGGAAGTTCTAAAACTTCGCAAATTCTCACAGGAACGTAGCATAACTTGTGTAATGCACGAATTGAAAAGCTTATTGAACTTGTAGAACTTGCTGATGAACTAATGTTTGTCCTTTGGAGCCTGACGACCTTGTAATCGCCGGTTACTATACAAAACTAATACACGTACAGTTGCAATTCACCCTCACTATAATAAAAAACATGATCTTTCATTGTTGTGTTTTCTAATTACATTTACCTGTCATACTGTCACCAGTCTGAGGAACATCTACACTTTCAAATGTATTTCTTCAGGATATCGCCTTTGGATTCTCACACTATGTTATTGTGGTCGCGGGCCTGTTCTCTATTGGGTTTGGATTGATGATGGATGAGGAGATGAGTGACGCTGTCTGGTTTGAAATTGGGGTATATTGCTTGGCTTTGAGAGTACTTTCTGGGAATCGCATGGGTGATATTTTAGTTGATCAACAATATTTACACAAGTCACTGCATGCAATTTTCATTATATAAAATACACAGAGAGTTGTACGTTCAGGGCGCGATTGTACATGAACGCAGAGTGGTGAGTTGTACTCACAGTCACTTGGGGGCTGAAAATCAATAAATACTAATTAAAACAAAAATCATCCGCTATACGTATATAAATAAACAAGTTGTGAAACATGGCACCTAGTAAATCGACACCCTGTCGGTTTTAAATTTCGATTTCTTACCTTAAAATTTGAAATAACATTTTTTAGAGGGGATCAGGTGTTACGTTAATAACCACTGTTCATAATCGTTAACTTAGTTTTATTCAAAACTGCACAAATCCTGCGTTTTCTGATGATATCAGACGATTTCATGAACGAAAATGGCCAGCAGCCAGAATCAAGAGGGATTCGCACAGCGTTCTGGGTAAATCAAGGAAATACTCGCTGTTTCGGCACGCCTGATTGGCTGAAAATGAGTATGCGCACCCTCTCCATGGCACAGGCCACTCAACAAATGACACTGCCTATAATACCTCAATTTATTCTTTTTGTACTTAACAGTTAAAGGTAATCATATAATTTTTGTTCAATTAACTCCAATTAGCTCATGTCCATTCACATTTATACGTGACTTAACGTTTTTGTTAAATACTTGAAACTTCCAATAAAATAAAGCGTTGAAAACATTTTAAAAGTCACCAATAATTTCTCAAGGTACGCGCAGGCTCATTCTTACAGCTCAACACAGACTTAGAAAACTCATACAATGTTACCGATCCATCCATCACCACTCAAGATGGTGTAAGTCCTATACTTGTAGCCTCACCGCTAAAGGAACACCACGACAATGACACCCTTCACTTCAGATGAAAAGTCTACACCATCGCCTTTAGCTGACTCTAATGCATCAACCACAACACTGCACATGAATATTCTAGAACCAATCATATTTTCATGCCAAAACCAGGCATATTAACAGCATAATACTTCATTAGCATTGTCAAGAATTGTAGACGGCGCGTAAAACTTATATTGAAGTTTCGATATATGGGAAGAGTCTACCACTTCTCATAGATAACCTTAGATACAGCGACTCCCTCAAAAAATATTAGGATTATATTGTGCTTCTTGTTGCTACAGTTGTATAAAAATGAACTTTATTTTTTCGATCACAAATTAAGTGTAACTAATGTAACACTGTGCAGTCCCCTCATTAGTTATAACTTTTAGTTAGATCAACGAAGTATATGCTGATAACATCATTTAGATGGAGTGCATTTTATTTTTATTTATCTTTAATGTAACAATCGTGCGATTTTTAAACAATGTTATCATCTGGTCTAGTAAACCAAAAACAAATCACACAATGCAGTCACGTCACAAAATCTGCAACAGAAATGGATGGATGATGGATGGATGGATGGATGGATGGACGGAAAGATTGAAGGACGGACGAGGAACGAACGAACGGACGGATGGGCGGGTAGACTGATGGACGAACGGACAGAAAGTCGGACAGTTGTAGTATGAAATATTAATCTCTTGGGGGTCGGCTACGCCACTTCATTGGGAACAAAGGTTACCAAATCCAGATATCATCACTGGCCAACATTCCTGAATCTAGAGACTTTGTAAAGAGAGTAGAATGCCCTTTTATTTCAGGCCACCATTTATATTGTGTCTCTAAGAATGGTGTGTTGGTATACCGGCTAAGTTTACATTTACCTACATTCACCTTGATATTCATACAATTAATAATATGTATTTAAAAGACACAAAATCTTGTTGAGATATCATACAAAATAATATAATGTGTATCCCCCGTGTTGTATGTTAGAGAAATATCAACAACTTAATTATTCTTAATGCTTATGCACAATGAGCGATACTAAATGTTACTACCCCTTACCACAGATCGACACCGCCGATTACGAAAAACTGAAATTCTTATGAATAAGCCGCTTATTGGCTAATATAATCAAGGCATAGCCCAAAGGTTTTACCTTTGAACTGAAATTCTTTTCTTGTATTTCTGTTATATAGTGTTTGATTATTTATTAATATAAGTAAGATATTAGAGTGATTCATTTACTAGTCTTTTGTTTATTCATATATCAAGGAATACCACTCATGTATTCCCAAGGGTTACTAAGGATGCTACTATAACAATCATATACCTTCTGAAACATTATATATTCGAGGTACATATGCCGTGCCAATGTTTGTCCAAGTGTTAAAGCCTGTTTGGTCAAAAGCATTTGAAAATAGCATGGCTATGTTTGAAAGAATGGGAAGTTGTACGAAACACCGATTGTGTAAGAATAACATTTCGTTTTTCCGGAATGATACCATATCAAAGCTATTCAGTGTTTATTGTAACACTCCACTACATAAATCTGCCTTGGTTAAATAGTTGCGGTTAAAATTTGATCCCGGCATAATTTTCACATAGAGATCTTCTAGTATGTTTAGAAAACTTTATTAGTACCACTTCAGGTTTCTCCATCATTCAAATAACATGACCAATTCCTTTGTTTCCTCCATCTATGTTTTCATGTAAATTTTCTTTTCTTTACCACTTTCATACATTTTCCATTTGCGTGTTCGCATGTTTTTGTTTACAGTGCTCCGGTTTTATTGTTTGATTCGATTTGATATGTATCGGTTATTACTTGACCAGATGGTGCTCACGTGGGCACAAAACGTTCTCACTCAAGGCCGTTAAACGAGAATAACTAGCTATTCCGTAATACGGTAATAATTTATTCATTTTCTACTCTGAACTGCCAAAGTATCCTTCAAAGAAGCATCCCACTTACCGACTCACTGTGCACAATGTTACAGTTTGTATTTTGCTATGATAATATTAGGTTTGTGTCTCCTGTCTTCATTCAATGATTTTACATTTTAATATTATTTAAGTGACTTACAATAGTGTTATATCTGTAAGTAAAATGATTTAAATTGAAAAAGAAAATTACATTTCTTTTATGCATTTTAATTTAAAGCAATAATCGAACGAGCATGATTTTACTATACATTCTATCTTCATTCCACCCGAAATTGAAAATGAATAAAATATACCTTCACGCTCGTTGTCTAATATATAAGTGCTTTTGCTTTTATATTATAAATTGAAACAGCACAACACTGTATTCTTGGATTGAATATTGTTTTACAATGTCTAACATAGTATGTATCACCATGAAATTATCAGCTAAATATTGCAATGATCAAAAACAAAGAGTATTTCTAATAAAATAGTTCAATTTCGCATAACCCCTATATTTCATTCGATCAAAAATCACAAATCGCAAACCCACTCCAATGAACCACGCAATCCATCGATGTGTGCCATATATGATATTTCTACTCACATCTGAAAAAAACATAAATAATTTGAAATACATGAATAGGGATAAAAATTAAATATTGTGATAAAGCACCATGCTCTCGCTCTGATGTGTTTGGTATGATTTATTTTACTCTGTGTTGAAGCAATCGACAAAGCATACGCCTCATGCATAGTTGTAGGAATTCAACTGTGTCGACAGCGAGCCACACATTTATCACGTCTTACCTCGTGTCAGCTACTTTCCAAGTCACTCCAAATTCATTTACATCTTTAGACACTTTGCCATCAGGCATCATAAAATCATTGTGAGGATCACCATCAGCGTTGCCAAGCAAACCACAAACTTTCCCATGGTATGCTATATCTGAAACGTCTGCAGTGAAGATGTGTTTCCTTCCCTTCCAGTGCAGAGTGAACGTTGTATCCATCACCGTGAATGATATCATGACTGTATTGTTATTGAAGCTTACATCTATATTTCTTTGCCAGGACTTTAAATCGTTGGTATTACCCTATGGTAAAAACATATAAAGACAAAGATGCTGAACAATTCAGTTTGTTACTCGATTCAGCTATTAAACATTGCACATTTTAGTCGGGCGGCAACTTCAGTGTCAACATTTACCAAACACGCACACTAAAAATTGGATGATACATAATTTGTATTAAAGAACAATTAAAAAAAAATTTATTACATACATACTGTTATATTACAAATAAATAACTGGGTCATTTGGAATACAGAAGGTACAGAAAGCATAAGTGAACCAAAATACGTGACATAATGTATACAGGTATATTCATTCCCGACAGTTTAATCCTGATATAATTGACCTCGGTGGTTAATATTCAGTAATGGAGTGGTCCATATTTTCTACGGACGCAACTAGATGGTCAGATCACCCAGAGCATGTTCTGTCACAAATAGGTCAATTGCATATGAGAGTGGATTGTTTATTGACAAGTATTTTTATTGATACAATATTAGCACAAACACGTACTGTCGGTCACATGTCTTTTAGTGTAACATAATTAAAAACCAATAGCTAATTATTTATTTAGATTGTTCTAAAAACAAAACTTACACTGCGATGCAAACATTTTGCAGTCATAACACACAAATAACCTTCCCTGTTAATAATATACACGATGTATTTTTTTTACTTACAGATATTTTGTTGCTTCTGTCCACAATAATGCTTTCATCGCCAACAGTTACATTTATAGCAACAGTTCTCGTCTTCAGAACGTCAACATCATCCCGGGGAGCAAAATTAGCACGGATTTCAAATTCAGGATTAGTATTTAAGCAGTCCTTCACCAGTGTATACCAACATGTACCTTGGAAACTATACGCACGTCCATCAAAGGTTGTCAAATGAGGATCACCACTTACAACTTTATTAATGAAACAAATAAAACTACTTTTGTACTGTCTATTTTTAATTTGAAAGTAACAGAATACAAGTGGAATTTACAATGTACAAAACAGACATAGAATATTGGATTCGTCTCATGTGATGTTTTTGACTTTATTTTTTCTATATTGATTATGCTGTTTGTAATTTACATACTATCCAAAGATATTAGAACACTACCACACAGTGAGTAAGTAGCCTGTTGTTGATGGAATTTACGTACCTGCTGGACATTTAGTACATAGCTTCTCAGCTTCTATTATTTCGTCAGGCGACAACGCACGGTTATATACTTGCATACATGTTATCAAACCCTTATAATACCGGGTATCAGTATCATGTACTCCCATACGAGCTTCATAATTAGTTGAAATTTCCATTGAACCAATATTACGACTATTCACTACAACACCTTTCAAATATAGTTTTTCCTCGCCACTATTGTAGTCGTACGTTGCTCCCAAAAAATTCCATTCGTTCTGGACGAGTACATCGGCCCTTAGATCTTCAGTGAATGAAAGGGTGCTACGTCGCGTCATGCGAACAAATTCCTGATTTGCACCGGTTTGCCACAGATGACTCCCCCATCCATCTCGTTTAAAATTAAATATTGGCCCAGCAGCACCAGTTGGGTAAACGTATACAAGTAATGTTATTGAATAGTGTGTATCAAAGCCACCGTCGTTGGGAAATTCGATGAATGAGTTTTTATTACCAGCGAAGCTGTATGCACTACAAATATCACCATGTTTTGTATTATCAACTGTAACACCAGTTGGGAGGCCGTCATTTGAACCGATTTGATCAACGGTGCCATGGTCTGCATTCAAAGGCCAGAATGCAACCATAGATGGATCTATTTGAAAAAAACAAACAATGTATTATACTCACTCACTCACTCACTCACTCACTCACTCACTCACTCACTCACTCACCCACTCACTCATTAATGAACCCATCCATCTATTCATTCATTATTCTGTTAAAATATTTACATACCGTAACTCCTTGTTTGAAGTACTTTCTGAAACGAAATGAAAATATATAAAACAAACATATCATACATAGACGCATACTTATTAAACAGAGGTTCTAACGCTAATGTTGCCGACAAGAGTAATACAGATTGCGTCACTATGATGTGATTTATTTTATTATATATAGTATGCTGGTAACAGTTCTCATTGTGTGGGATGGGGTCGCTTTTTTATAGTCTGTGGTATACTAGGCAAGAGAGCCGCCCTGTCGGGTTTTAGTTCTAGGGAACATAACGTTTCAGATATGTCCATTCAAGAGTGTGTTTTATTTTGTCAACGAAAATAAACTTAGACGCACGGAAGAATACTAAATTTCATGAATTGTTCACATCATTTCCAGCGATTGTAATTTGACGCGCTTGTCATATTTCAACATTTTAGCCATAACGCGTGTTTCGTACTATCTCTCTTTCTCTGTATTCATTTCTATAATTGAAAAGGATACTTTATCTAAAAACATCTGGTTATATAAAATAATTAACAATGACTACGAACACCTGCTACTAGTTAATGAATGATCACTTGATTGAGTATAATTAATTCCTGATTAGACCATTTGTTTTTGTCGCGTTTCATTTTAAATGGAACAAAACGTCGGTACGTTATAATTAAAATAATACACTTAATCATAACAGTTTCTTATATTTGGTTGTGATTGACTGTTAAGCATCTTTACTTACATCCTGTCACTAAATCACACTTGATTTCAGCCGTTTGACTATATCACAAAATTAATATTTGGTGTGAAGTTTTTTTTTCATTAAGATGCTCTCCAGACTGGTGAGTTTTTCCTGCCTGTATACGTATATTATTATTATACACAGGAGCGCAGCGAAACTACCACTCAAGTTAGTCATCTATGTCTGTAACATTAAGCTTAAATCAATGATATGATTGTTTCGTCGATGATATACACAGTTTAAGTATACGCAAGAATGTGTCTCTTTATGTGAAATGGTAGTGTTCCAACTGAACGCCAACGTTGCATATACTGGGCATTTCCCGTACGCATGCATGTTAGGTGCGCCAGACATCACAGAGACAGTCAAAATCGCTATGCAAACATAAATAGCACGCAACTGAGGGAATGAAACAATATCTTGCACAGTTGTTCTGTAATCGTCCCTCCAAGAGTTTCTTATTTACGTAAAAGTAATGAGTAGCACTACTATGTAAAACTCAATTGAATAAATAAAACCCCTTTTCTCTATACACTATAAGGGGTTACATGTTTCGACTGAAACAGGCGATGTAGTGCCGCGATCATTGATTATTGTTGTTATTACAGCTGTAGCCGAGTTGTTGTCCATTTTCGTGTCTGATTTAAATATTAAATTTGAGTCTATATTTTCTACAACTCATCCGATTTTATTCTCGTCGTTTTATAACTCAATAAACTTATTTGCGTGGCAAATGTATCTCCAACATGGTGGTAGGCGAAATTTCTTCTGCCGAATGTCATTGGTATTTTGAGAAAGTATTACAAGATGGGACAAGGTTCGTTAGCTGGTACAGGTTACAGGAAATAAACACGGCATTTAACATTTTTACAGGAAATAAAATGAAAGTTCCATTTACAGTAAAAAAAGGTTTTTACACTATACAGATATAGCAAATGCCTAATAACATTTTACATTCATATAATATTTTTCATAATTTGTGTTTAAGAATCAAAATTGAAAATTGCGTACGAATTACGACATTTAATACAGAAAATGTTTATACGATTACAAACAATAATATCTTTGTACAAATTACAGACGAATAAATATCCGATTACATATTATACATTGCCCACGTCTTTTATTTATTTAAATTACATTATTACGAAAATAAAAACAATTGATTACAGCTTACGAAAATACCCCTTGCCGACCCAACATGCAACCGAAGATTCGTCGGCAATTAATCAATGCAATCGACGTACCATTTTACTTACAGTATAAGAACTACAGCTAGACGTTTATGGAATTCTGTCTAGGGAATATTATGCTCGGTTTGAACCAAAAGGAAACTATCGCAAAACAAATATCATTGTACACAAACAGTGTTTGAAATTACATTTCAACCGAGCCCACCAAGTTTACTGCCGGAACACATAGTTATCCACCAACTTTCTGAGCAGTAAAATATAGCTAATGAGTATCAGTAATAAATATTAATAAATTATTCAAGTAAAACTGTTTCACTTATTATTACATTGTACCTTCCAATATAACTGGGAAAATGTTTGCCGCTTGCTGTTTCATTTCGATAATATACAGCGTCAGCTTGCTCATTTGTTTTAATAATAAAAATAAAACATCACTTGCAATACTACCACCAATTAAAAAGCCAAATAATGGCTTAAATACTGCCAACAAGGTGTACAACAAAAACAAGCGACGTCAAAACATATGTATCAGCTGGATAAGGGATTTTGTCCATGGATTATATCCATATTATTATCAGACTAATGTAATTTATTGTAAACGATGGATGTCTAATACAGAGAATGCGATACATTTTTGCTAAGTATTTTTTATTTGAAAGACAAGAATTGACTGGCAATAACTGGAAAGTGCTGGAAAGAGACAATTGGCTAAGGCTATACCATTACCTAAATATATCACCTCTTGTTTCTCTGACCTTCTTGATGGTTTATTATTTCAGAGGATGAATTTAGACCCCCGGGCCGTGATTTTCACCAAAATGTGGTGCCTCGCATACACTAATACTGAATACGATAACAGTTATTGTACACTAGAAAAGAATCAGGATACGCTATATTACTCGTATTTTATTTACATGATTTATATAAAAACAGTTTCTCAAGCCTAAATGCTGCACAATTGATAAATAGCTATGGAAACCCTACTTAACCCAATAACGTATTCCCGCTCTTTTGAACACAATGGCATGAAGATGAATGATACCGCCCTCTGTGGAACCACTGAGGCTGTGGATTGTATCATTTCGCCCGTGTTTCGTTTCCTCAAGTTCACAACATAACTGTTGTAATATAGGATTACTTGGAAATATCTATACCAAAAGTTTGTATAAATGACAAATACAGCAATGACAAATGCTGAACAAGGATTGTTCAATTAATCTGTCGTCAGTCGTCAGCATGGAAGCATTCAGATTAATATCAGCAGTTGTTTGTAAAACCTACCAACAACTAGATTGGCTCTTTGCGGTAGGCTTATCAACTGGTTATTAAGCATATTCGCTTCACACAAAAAGACATCACATCACATAAATGCGTGAAATTAGTTATTAGTTACACATATGTTGTCTCCATCGATCCTCTAATGGAGACGCCATTGAGACCGATTGAGACACGCAGTTTCAGTTCAAAGTCAGTTCATCAACAAGTCTCTTCTTTTGCTTGAAACAGACCAACCGACGAACAACACTTATTTTCACGATCGAGAGACTGCAATCGTCCATCTAAAACGAAGTCGACTACTGAAATCCCATGGTTTGAATGGAGCGTGATTTGCAGCAGGTGATTTTAGCCCAATTTTAGTCCGTCGGTCCAGTTCTATCTGAGCCCAACCCAAAGTCGAAGCCGATTGGGCTTTAGCTGATAGCGGTTTTTGCTGGCTCTAGATGTTGGACACCCGTAAAATGCTGTCGGGTAAACAAGGTAAATGTTGCATTTCGATAATGGTAAATGCCAATCATTATATCTGTTGTTTATGAGTGGGTGGCAAATCAACTGTGTCTCATTCCAGAGAACCATGTATTTCTTCTACAAACTAGGCTATCTTGATATGCCACTCACTTACAATTATGAGCTATTAGAAATAAATGGCAATGAATGGCAACAGCAATCAGATACAGATACAATCTGCCAGGTAAAATCGTTTGACAATCTGATGACGTGCTGGCAGATATGGACATGCATGGCTAAGAAACATATACAAATTAGCAAGAGTTACAGCAGAGTTGCTCATGAGCACAGATCCAGGTTACTAGTATGCCTTAATGTCTTTCTCTGTAAATTGCTTAAATAACAAGGCCACGTCCGAGTCTTGTGCATCTTATGCTTATATTTGGATCGTACAATTTGTGGACTCGGCGATGAATAAACAACGCCCACGTGTGCACCAGGTGCTACTTGTATATATGATCAGGTTAGGATTCAGTTACATTACAACATCATATGGGTATGCCAGCGTATAAAATTAACTGCATGTCATTCATCATGTAACGCACACGTCTCCTTTATATTAACAATGACTACAAACTACAATGCATTAATTTAAACTTCGTATACACAAATTAAACGATGACGTATGTATGTTGTCATAAACATTAAGTACGTAATTTGCGGGAAACAGGCAACAGATAGTAATAGATCTTTTCTTTTTTTCTTAATTTTGTAGAAAAAATGAGATATTTTCCTGGCGGACCATTAAAACATTGTTTTATGCAAAAAATAAATAAGATAGGATGCGTGTATAACGAGTCAGTTCGATACAATATTATACTATTAAGTAGTGGAGGGCCAGGATGAGGCTGACTTTAGACAAAACACAAAATTTGAAACCAGTATTCAAACTCTCACTTTTCTGAATCCCCTCTTAAAGTGCAATGTTTTGAACACTAGAAAAAAGCCTGAGCTGAACTGAGCAGAAATATTTCATCGATTTTTAAAATCAGTACTTGCAATTTGACCAGGAAGCACTATTATGGTAAATTAACTGAGTGGGAGACAACTCCGTCTCTGCCGATTGTTCACTTGAATCTGATTTTGGTTCTCTTTTTGTATATGGTAACATGGTAATGTTTCAGAACCATTATAACTAGAACACCAGTTAACAGCATCAGCACATAACTCCTTGTGTATGTTATACACTTTATTCCGCTATGAAAACCGCTAACGTGTCAACATAAATATATGCGAGACGCCTATAAATATACTAGTAAGTAAGTCAACTCACCGTTTGTGAGGCTGCTAGTGTAAAACTGGTAACCGAAAGGATGACTAGTAAATGCAACATCGTTGCCGTCGTCGGTGTAATACTCTTCAACGTGAAATAGTATGCAGAGCCTTGAGTGAAGTGATCGTTCTACTGATAGATATGATCAGATCGTTTGATTATAAAGATTGGTTTGGCTGATGTGCCCTTTTTTCCGTCTAATCCCTCCATTTGGTAAAGTTTCAATTGGTTTAGGAGATAACCGCCCACAAACATAAATTAATCCACGCATGCTCTGTTCCATTCTTCACGTGGCGAATGTTAACAACACATTTCCAAAAACTAGCATGAGTACGTTCACTACATAGTATAGCAGCTACCACGATAATAAATGAAACACATCGGTTGTAATATTTGTGCTGAGACGCCTGTTAATGATATGCATATGTCATAATGCGAACATATTATTTTCAGCATTTGTTTATAAAATAATTTCACAAGTCAAGTGAGTTTCAAAATTGCTGTTATCATAAAATATACATGATATTACCATTGAATTGTTATCATGTGACTCGTCTTCGGCCTGATGTGCACTTTTGAGTAATCATTATAGAGAATTGTTTAGCTATGGATATAGTACTCGATAATTAGTTGCTCTTAGACTTACACAGAGCAGAGTAACTTTTAATGTTTATTTCCAGCTACTAAGTATACTAATGCACAGTTCTGCGGTTCTAAAGAAATGTAATTGAAAATATCATTAACATTACTAGGACCAACCTGTACATTTATAATTAAATATCTGAAATTTACAATGTCGCATTATTTATGTGAAGACTGCGCTGCAGTTGAATAGCGTAAATGTAATAGTTATTGAAATGGTGCCATCCAACTCAATCGAATATTCTCGATCGCGGACTGATGTGATATTTACTCACTTTGCCTTGCAAGTCCATGAGGCCGAAACCCGCTGGTAAACATGGGTTGTTAACTTACTTTCGTATAATATTTATTTATAATGCTTAGATTATTGGCAAAATCAGTGACCACATACACTGTCCTTTCCTGATTTCACATTCTCGCATTCATTGTCATTGCAGTACTTTCAGTGTTGAAACACTGAGAATAATACAAAACGTTCAAGGAGCCACAACCACCACGTTACGCAAATTGAACTTTCAAGTAGTAAAATGCACTGGGCACAGTATATAGAAACTGAAGCCTCTGACTAATCAACAACACGGTATATGACTATTTGTAATTCAAGTGTATTTGGGTACATCCCTATACAAAGTCTTAAAGCCTTTTCTCAACCAACAAAAAACATGTGACATTCGATAGCATTGGTCCTTGGTGTTACAATTACAGACAAGTCTGTGTTGTTGAACATCTTTATATAAAGACCACCTGTTCACCTTTGATCATCTTTGTACAGTCCAAATATTTACATGTACAATCACTTGTATATAAACGCCACCTGTCTAACGCCACGTACTCTTTGGCACTCACGCTGGTTTGGTGAATCTGTATCGAGACCAGAATGATGGATAGTGTTTTGCATTAGCAGCTACACTGGCATTATAAAATTTATCTAAGAAAAGAATTGTTATTTACTCTCACTTTTCGGGATACAATCGCTCTAAAATTGTTGTCCTATGTTTATTCATGAATCAACTAATTACCCACTTGTATATAGATGGCAATTTCTTAAAGCTCCACAGGCCATCAATTTTACGGGTTTAACTGTACGATATTGGCCATTTGGCCATTGATATTTAATTTGAAAAACCGATTTTTTTTCTAGAAACAATTCTTTGCTATCATCCTGCACTTTTGGTAAAACTGAGTAGGTATAATTTTTGTCAGTCACGAATCTTACTCTAGCCGCATATATGTTTAAAAAACAGGGGCAGATGCAGAATTTTAAATTAGAGGGGGGGTGGTGGCATCTTTACAATGACGTCATTGCCACTCACTATTATGGGATATATGTATATGACGTAGCATCCCTACCCCAAGGCACGAATCACAGTAGCTGCATAGATCGTAATGATAATTTTGCGACGCGCACACACAACTCAAATTATTTATCAACATCAGCTTATGATCGTCATTCATGGAAACATTTTTGTGTGTACACACAATATTAGTTAAAGTAAAATAACCAATATGTATATGCAGTGTTTGTTATTGTACGTACAAAACAACCAGTGCTCATGAAGACTTTATTTAGCATTTTCATATAAAAATCTATTCATACGTGAACATTGTCACCTTTTGAAAACCCATTAGTTATATAAGCCTATATCAACGGCAGCGCGATAATGGTGGAACTGGCAGTGTGTGGTTTTTGAGTATTGCCGATTCCTAATCAAAGGAAAAATCATAATAACGTGTGGTATAGCTTCTAATATACTTACTCCAATAAATTGAATTGCAAAAAACGTAGCATAAGACCATGTGAATTGGTGAGATTTGATTTAAGGAGGGTCAGCCCAGAAATCTGTATAAGTTGCTGATGGTCTAGTATCCCTTTCACCTCTATCAAGTAAGGCTATGAAGATCACATATAACAATTTCTCCATGTTCTCTTTTAATCAATTTGTTCAAAGTTTGTACAGACAAAACATTGAATAAGGAACACTGCCCTTGTTGTTTTTATTCTGACACCTTCATGGGTTGCGCACTAGCAATGCAGTCCCTCTAGATTTGCGCAGTAGCGCTATTTAGACTCGTCATGGTCGAATTTGCCGGCTACCGCCGAGGAAGCAACAATTATATACATTATAATAATTATTTTATGATTTCTGAAGCTACTAAATATCATTAAATATTGTAATTCCTAATAATTCCTTAAGAGATTGACATGAAAAGCTTGTATTCCATTATTTATATTACTGATATCATTATTCACATTTGGGCAAATAACAGCACAACGTTATCTGATGTATCCATTATCCATTCATGTTTTCTACATGACTCAAAAATAACTTTATTTCTTCATCTCAATTGGGTTAAGTAACAGATAATCGGTGTCACAAACGCCCTGAATACGCAGTTCTATGAGCTAATTTTCCAGTCTATCGTTGTAGGCGGCTCACCGGTCGCCCGAGGATGAGTAACAGTGGCGAAAATGCAAGCGACATTCGGGGTGGGTGTTCTGCCAAACTGAAAAATAAAAACAATCCTAACAACTCGAAAATGAATCCCCACTCTTTTCGAATGTTTCTGTGCATTTTGTGGGGTTTTGGTTCAAGTTGAAATTTCCAACACGACAAGGTCTTCCACTAATACAAATGCCTGCCTGTTTTAAGAAGTCCCTCCAAATTTTAGAATTTTAAAACACTTTTTTCCGACAAATTCAGAACGCAAATACTCCCTCGACCAGCTAAGTTCTCCCCGAAACTAAATTTATACTAATTACCATGTTAGTAAAAAAGTAAATATGACTGCGTGTGTGACTGGAACCTACGATTGGGTATGGGTATCCATTAAAATGTTGCTTAATAACCGAGTATATTCCATGAATAGACCAAGAAATCCATACCTTCGAGTAACATTGGGGTAAAGGCCCCCTGATCTGGTCTATCAGATCAGGTGAATGTTGTAAGATGCCGTGTTTGTAGAACGAACAACTCTGTCAAAGATTAAAACATTTTCAGTTTTTATATTTTCTTTAATATATGGCAAACCTGCAGCACAGTTGATCAACTACTACACAAAAGTCTAATTCTTAAACATTATTCCATGACGTGCAAGCGTGTGTATGCATGGTGTCCAACCAACCCCCGCATGTTAGTTTTTCAGTGTGCTTCGGTAGCATTGGTTTGAGATCGTGGATTGTTAATGAAATATTTT